TGAGTTTTGTGAGACAGAATTGAGTTTTGTTAGACAAAATTGAGCCCTGTCCTGCATGGCGCCCCGTACCGTATCACCATGTCTTCAAAATCTAGGTTTTGCTCGCAAATTGAATGGCAAATTATGACATCAGAGGCAGAAGTATAATGTTACTGAAAATAATAGTAAACGTTAAATTCGTGTTCTCATATATTCACGCAATTTTGTTGCTCTACTCTCGGCGGTAGAAATCTGCCCATTCATCTCTTCAGCATTTTACAGGCATTACAAAACTACACTTATCTTCGTATTAGCCATCCATTCTTTTTAGTAATGTACTAAATCAATAGCACATAATCCCTAGCGTTTATGTGATCTTGACATAATTATTTAAGATATGATGAATGTATTCGACCATCTCACGAGGTATGCCCACGGTAATTCCCAGTAGATGTCGGGCATACATTTCTATATTCATTACATAAAGCCTAGCGCACACACCCGAGCAAAACACCCTGAACGTGGAGCAAAACGTGTTTCGCTCAATGTTCGTGGCTGTGTGCGGATTCCCGAAACAAAAAACATTGCTCAGCTGAGCGTGTTTCGCTGAACAAGCAATGTTTGATTCGCGGAACGTGTTTTCGCCTGAGAGTACGTTTTGCTCGGTGTGTGCGTCAATCGTTCTGCTACACAGCGAAACGCCACAGACGGTCTCCAATCAATATCCTTAAAAATATAACATGACACACAAAATTGGATGTCCATTGGATGGCTATTTTGGATGTCATGTGACAGCGGCGCTGTACGCAGTGTTTCTGTATGTTTTGCTATGGTTTTGCTCAGCTGTGTGCTGTGTCGGGTGGCGTGTGTGCGCTTGCTCGCCGAGCAGAAATGCCCGTTTTGCTTGGGTGTGTACGCTAGGCTTAAGCAAGGGTGTCACAAGAGATTGCCAAAAGTGCTGATTGTTTTAGTGACTCACTACGGCTAGCACAGCGCTATACAGAGGAAGAGCGACTGCAATTATTTGATACATCGCTCCCCCATTACCTATTTTTCCCTGACGGGAGGACTAACTATAGGTCCTTCCAGATAAGGTGTATGTGGTGGCTGTAGCACCCACATAGGGCTGTAGCACCCACATAGGGCTGTAGCACCCACATAGGGATGTAGCACCCACATAGGGCTGTAGCACCCACATAGGGCTGTAGCACCCACATAGGGATGTAGCACCCACATAGGGCTGTAGCACCCACATAGGGCTGTAGCACCCACATAGGGCTGTAACACCCACGTAGGGGCTGTGCAGCACCCTCTCATAGGTGACTGGTAGACGACACATATAGGGCTTAGTACATCCACATAGGGCCTGTGCATCCACATAGGGCCTGTAGCACCACATAGAGCTGTAGCACCCTCATAGGAGATGTTAGCATCCCTCATATGGGAATGTAGCGCCCCACATAGGGCTGTAGCATCACATAGGGCTTGTAGCACCGCTCATAGGACTGTAGCACCCATCATAGGAGCTTGTAAGCACCACGTAAGGCTGTAGCACCCTCATAGGGATTGTAAGACCCACATGAGGGCTGCTAGCACATCCACATAGGCTGTAGCATCCACTGGCTGTAGCACCCTCATAGGGATGTAGCACCCACATAGGGCTGTAGCACCCACATAGGGCTGTATCACCCTCATGCCCCCTTTTGGTGTCGCTACTGCACCTAAGTCGGATCGTGTTATTGTCATTACAGGACAAGGATCGTCTCGTGATGCACGAACATAATGCACCACGTAGAGGCAGTCACGGGAACGGGTACCCAGACACACGACGGGACCGTGATCGAGACGATGTTGTTCAGTTTTAGACTCCGAATCAATGATTTTAATTGATGATGTAAGATTTTATTGTCCACAAACGAGAGATTTTATATAAACGCAAACGCCGTGAATTTGGCGTTTCCTTTCTACGACGTTAATAATGAATATTTAGTTTGTATTGAAATTTTGTAGCAGATATATAGAAATCTTTTATGTTTTATAGAAGAATTTCCTTAGAAAAACTATTAGAAGAATGTTGTTGAAATAATCAGTGTATTTTGCCGTAGTCTGGGAAAACACTTCCCTTGGAAAACTCTTTTCGCAATATGGCGTTTTAGATATACTAATTAATCCAGCTGAATTATCAATACGACTGCGACTCTGACTTGTCTAATTGACTTATCAGTTTTTGTTAATGTGACAATAAAAGTGATCAACATACGCTGATAAATCCGATTAGATAATATTAAATATTATTATGGGTATCATTGCATATCGTTGCGTACCACTTTACATATATTTTTGTGTGAAAAGAGATTATAGCATAATAAAATATATGGCACAGTCAAACTATAATATTTATACGCAATGATCGTATTTTGCATGTGCCGGACAAATCAGGATGATGATTGATCAACAGCCAAATACAGTACAAACTACTGTTGTATCACCGATCTCTATAATAAAATCATTGTTATAGAGATCAGTGTGTTGTATTCGACAAGCGAATAAAATTCAACATACTGAGTCTTACGAATCAGCCAATAAGGCCATAGGCCTAGCGCGCGCTCTTCCCGTGAGTCAGTTTAAGTACGTGACACATTGAACGTGGTTGTGCTCTCAGCCTCTCATGATTGCACTTGCTACGTAAATTGCTGTACGTCCTATATAGAGTTCGAGATACGAATTTTTCGAGATACGAACGAAACTGTGGAACGAATTAAATTCGTACCTCGGGGGTTTACTGAACTAGTAACCGTATATTGTACTAGCTACTAGCTATGGCGTAGATTCAAACTCCACTCGGCTATGCCCCTCGGTCGGCCGTTAGTCTAACAAAATGAGCGGAGCGAAATTAGCGGCGGGGCTGCTGCCTCTCGAACCTACTTCTGATTAATTGATTGCTCCTGAATAGCAGCGCAAACCTCATAATTCTGTCGTCTGCAAAAGCTTAGCATCATCCTGAGAGGCACATACACTGCTGTCGCACGTGTCATCTTCCGTGTCAGCAGGCGACTCTAGTCCGTTGCCGGAAGCTTCCAGCGACACTCCCACTGCGTCGACCGGGCTGCTTTCTTCGTCTTCTACTTCTAATGTTACGGTTGGATTAGTTTCTGCATCCTCGGTCGTGGAGTCCTGATGGTCTAAAATAGCGTAAAACCACCCGTAGATTTTGACGCAGTATCACTTTATGGTATTCGTCATGCAAATCTTTGGGAAATTCTCCCGTTTAACAGATACTATATGCATGCTTTTAAATAAACGTTTTAAGGAATATATTTTTATGCCTGCGAGATATAGATTTACAAACGGGCCAAATTCCAAATATTAATGCCGCTATACAATATTGAAATGCATAACAGGTGCCCGTGCACGTTTCTTCACAAATCCTTTAAACAATTGTCAGACCAACCAGTTGTCTATTTAGATATAGCCAATTAATTTACTGCATAGCTTAATGTTGACAATCCAAGTTTGGTTACAAGAGGAGATGCAGTGATATGTCTGTTCAGTGGCGTCACAAGACGGGTGAGGGGGGGGCGTAACGCACCGGGTGACACCATCAGAGGGGGTGATTTTAATTTTGCTAGTTGTTTATGGCATTACTATTGCCATTACATTCAGTGATATACGGGAATTACGATTTACGAGTAACATTAGTACAAAAAACATTACTGCGGATTCTGTATGGTCTGTTACGGAAGGAGGTCCATGTGGGTGACACCATGCATGAGTTACCGCACCGTGTGACACCAACCCTAGTGACGCCGCTGTATCTGTTGATGTAACTGTTGATGTAGCTCTTGATGTAACTGTTGATGTACCTGTTGATGTAGCTGTTGATGTAACTGTTGATGTAACTGTTGATGTAACTGTTGATGTAACTGTTGATGTAACTGTTGATGTACCTGTTGATGTAACTGTTGATGTAGTCTCAGAATGCGGTTGAGGGTCAATAGTCGTCTTTAGGGTGAAAAGCTCGAGTGCATTGCTGTGCGCACAAGATGGTGGGGAGTCAAAGGTGACAGTCTTTCCCTTGCACAATTGTTGTGAATCATCTGCTCCTGGAAAAACAACAACAGTCAGAGTACGAGCTAAGGTTTCTTCATTGCGCGGCAGCTTGTCAACTCATCACATTGCTGCGACAAACTTAGACTGAGACTTAGACTTAGACTAACTTAGACTGAGACTTAGACCGAGACTAACTTTACTTAGACTTAGAACTTTCACTTCATTAATAGTGCTTATAAGCCAGTTTATAGCTAAGTTCGTCAATGTTATAAAGTACCATGCAGTTCGTTACGTGTACGTTATTATTCTCGTTGCCGCTATGTCGTGCATCACTCCGATTAGACGCATGACAAATTAAAGAGTAATTCTCGGAACGCTAATTTTATAGGCCTACCCTGCATTTCTTGTTCTTCTGTCCACTTATAATCATAGTCATTGACAATGTGTTCGTTCTGCTTGTTCAGAAATATGGAAATGCACTTGTGGATGTATCCAAACTGTTCCTGTAAGCATCATACAATAACTTCACACTGAGACTGCTATCTGTGGTTAGATTGAACCACTAATTTCTCAATGAGAACGGTCGGGCGCATGCAGCCAGCGGGCGCATCATTTAGCGTAGATTCATACCGTATTATATTAATACAGAGCCTCTCATTTCAAAATTCGGATATGGTTGGATAAGAGGCAAAAGACTACACAGATGAACAAACTCGCATAACCAACCCCCATCGATCCGGTCACATATGCACCGCATGATATATATGCTTTAGATATATGTATGCATACGTAACGACACTTGCCTCCGTCTGTACCATGTGCGTGCGATGGCAACGCATGTTGTACACGAGTCCAAAAACGTCGATCATGGAATCCTCGTTAACGCATTGAACTAGTCTGTCGACGGCAATATAAGCACCAGAGCGCCCAACACCGGCACTGGAACAACCATGGAAATAATAAGTATATATATATAATTATTATTATTATTATATATATATATATATATATATATATATTATAAGAGAGAAGGGGCCGATTTTCTGACGCGGTAATCTTCGCCGCGGTGAGCATCAAGCCCACGCCACCGATCTCAGTGTATAGCCCGTGTGTCGGACACCAACATAGGCTTATCCATATTTGTTAAATCCACCTATATTTGTATATATAATGACGATAAATAGTCCATAACTACGGCCGATAATTTTAGCAGTGGGGAGATGTCAGAAAAGTAGAATAGCCGAATTCCCGCGAATGTAGCCATCAAGCGGATAAACGCCAAAACTTTGTTAATACCAGGTTAAACTATGCCAAATTTATACATTTTTTTTAAATTATGCACTCAGTTGTGAATTGCGTCTCAAAAGCAGCACAACACACACTTTAGTGGTTTATTTTCGTTCATTTGTATTTTTTAAATTGTAATTTATCTGTGTATACATTCAGATATAATGTATAACATGGTATAAAGAATCAAGTTTGTTAAAATCAGGTGCTATTCATCTTTTTGATAATGTCATCTATGGTGACTTCACTGGTGCAGAACTCTGCCAAATTGACCAACTAATTTGGTTAAAATGAGGTGATATCCATACGAATGACCCTGAACTGATAGGGTTTAGTTTATTGACCTATGTATTTAGTTTAGTTTAGTTTTTATGTATTATTTTGATGTGATGCGAATCCCAATGATACGCGAGACACGTGGCATATGTCACCAATTGTGTATTTAAAAGGCGGGACGAGCATATTCATAATAACTTGGTGTAATTTCATAACAATGTTGTATATCCAGAAGCTTTGACTACACAGAATCATAGAATCGTTCGAACTGTTTTTGTCAGAATATTGCTTAATTTTTTGTTATTGTTGTTTATTGTTTGTTTCTATGTTACGAATCTATCCTTAGAATTATGTCCAAGAAAAGTTATAAAAAGGTAAACCGAGCCACCCGCTACCCTAGAGTGTCGGCTGAGAATTAGCCTTGCGTGTATACCATGCTGGAGGGTGATTATACTGTCTTCTATCTATCCCGGAATTTTTACCCGTAGGCTCGTGTTGCTGGATAGTGTTTAGATTGTGAATCGAGTACGTTTCTCTTTCCTTTCTGATGGGGATCGTAAAGATGGAAGGGGGGGGTCAAAATAAGTAAGTTTATGTGGCTGAAGTTGCTCATAAAAGTTGTTCCTATGCGTTTTTCCCCGAGCAACGCCGGTACCAAGCTAGTATATTATAAGTATAATAATATAGTCTCACTATATATTTCTATGGAAACAACATACGAACAGTGATTTCTTCGTTGTAACTACCCCGTCGTTATGCCTTTTTTATTTGTAGCCGTTTGGCCTTTGAGAAATAGATGAGTTATAGTTCGAATGCTCGAAAACGTATCGATAGGATAGATAGTTGACAGCGTATTTCGCCGTGAGAGGACTAACGTAGAACAGAAATTGCACCACCTGCAGTGGACCAGCATCGGCGTGTGCATGTCGTCCACGCATTGTTGCCGGACACTACTAATGCAGTTCAACAAAATATTCGGATGTTTCGGACATCCGAAATCCGGCCAGGCGATTAGATGGCACTGCGTGATGTTTCGTAGCTCTCCGTTCTGTAAAAGTTCAAGTATAGAAATATAAAAGATATATATATATGTATTAGCTGCAGGTAACCGCTGCGCTGGGTAAAATCGTGCTACTAATTTATACTACTAATAATCGGACACAATAGGAACATTGGGTAAAAATCTACAATAACATTGCACACAATATCAATATTTTCAAATCAGTCTAATAAGATAATAAGCATGGTAAAAAAAACTGTTACGTATGACATTGATATCACAGCACAACCCAACTTAGAACCCCTGGAACATAATAGTAATATGGTGAAAATGACAAAAAGCTATTATAACAGCATGTACAAATGAGTTGCACTTTTCATTTCAAAGCCTCTTAATAAACAATGTTTTTCGTCTTATTCTCTGGTGAAAATATGTAGAGATTCCTGGCCTCTCCAACTCTTGAGCTCCCCACGTACACAGGCGCGTAGCCAGAGGGGGGCGGTGGGGCGGTCGCCCCCCCCCTAAACGCCGGTCAAAAAAAGAGAGAGAGAAGAGAAAAAAGTAAGAGAACGTAGGAAGAAAAAGGAGCATACAAAGACACAATACAAAGACTGTGTTAAAAAGATTATAAAAGAAACAACAGATATCTTTTAATTATTTAAAAATATTTTGTGAAATGAGCTTTGAGCCCAGCGCAGTTCGCCTTTCATCCAGCTCGGCATAACATATCATGCGTACCTAGCAAGTTGCAAGTTGGTGTAGCTGCAGTAGTGAAGGATAAAGCCCCTCTTGCCGAATATTTCCATTGTGCCATGCACATGCTGAACCTTTGCGCCACCAAATCAACTCAAGTAGTTTCCATTAGGAATTGTTTAGACATTATCCAGCAAATGACATCCTTCTTCAACAGTAGTACCAAAAGGGTTACCCATCTAGAAGCAGAAATTGCAAATGCAGGCATAGAGGAGAGTAAGCAACAAAGGCTGAAAATTCTTTGCCAGATGAGATTCCTAGAAAGACACGAGACTGTTATAAACACCCTCTCTGTCTTGCCATATGTCATTCGGGTGGTGGCGAATAAGACGGGATGGCAAATGCCAAAAGCGAGAAGAAACGCTGCAAGTCTTCTCAGAGCCATCGCTTCATTTGACTTCTTAGTGTCTCTTCACATCCTGGCGAAGGTAAGCGGAATCCTCTTCCCAGCGTCAAGAGGTATGCAGTTTGTCGGCCTAGATCTGTTAGAAGCTGTGACACTGGTGAAAGATGCTACAGATGTACTAATGTCATGGAGGAACGATGACACATTTGACAGTCTGTTTGCCAATGCTGAGAAGATGGCTAATGATTTGAATGTGACAGTGGAGCGCCCTAGGACTGCATCCCGTAGTGTTTATCGTCCCAATGCCACTTCTGGAGTTTAAGTTCAGAATTCGACGCAAGAGTACTACAAACTAAATGTCTTCCTCCCTCTCATCGACAATATTGTGACACATCTAAGACTGCTTCAGTCCCACACAAAGAAAGATAATGCATTTGATGCGTCTAGTTCCAGCCTACATTAGCACCTATGAAGATGTGCTTCCTGCAGCTGAGATGTATGAGAGCATGATCGACATCTGCTGTCTTGAAGGCGAGTTCGCTATATGGCTAAAGAGATGGGGTAATACAGAAGCAGGAGAAAAGAAAGCTGTAAATACAGCGGTTCTTGCACTGGAAGAATGTTCACAGATAACCCTACCCAACATCCACTTGCTCCTTCAGGTTTTGGCAACCCTGCCAGTCACAACAGCCCAGGCTGAACGAACTTTTTCAAAGTTGGAGAGAACATCAACAGCAATACGAGCATCAGTGGGGGAGGACAGGCTGGAAGCTTTACTTCTTATTCAGGCTTACAGAAAGGAAATACCTTCGAGCGATGAAGTTCTAGATAAGTTCTGTTCGTCACAGAGGTCCAGACGGATTCTACTTTGAGCAGTTGAGGAGAACGTAGGAATTGCTAGCCAGTATGTAGATACAACCCCGCTCCCATACCAAAAATAAGTCATAAAGTGGCAAATAACGACCAAAATATTTCCTGCTAGCAATTATGGAAATCTTATGATGAAATGCTGATTGTTTGGTAATTGGTTGATTTAAACGTCAATATATTTATCACATGCATGATGCTCATTTCTAAAGATATCCTAAAAAAATCAAAATCTTGTTTAACAATAAATCCAATATTATTTTTGAAAATTCAGGATTAAGAGTCGAGAACGGTACAACGAATCGTCTTCTTTTTCTAATAATTTAATGAGACGTCAGAGCTTCCGCGCTTCGCGCAGGAGGGGGAAACTCCCCCCTCCCTGCACCCACCCCCTAGGGAGCGTGCTCCGCGCGCTCTTTAAGTGATTCGCGCACTTCACGTGCTCATTGCCGCCCCCCTAAAATAAAATCCTAACTACGCGCCTGCACGTACAGCTGTCTGTGGGAGAAGCAGGACTGTCCGAGGTGCAGACCGACGACAGACAGCGTCTGGCCCTGAGCTTTGTTGATGCTCATAGCAAAGCTTAGTTTGATGGGGAATTGTAGGCGCTTGAACTGGAATGGCACATCTGTGGGGATGATGGGAATGCGAGAAATAAAAACCTCTTCCCCAGCAGCACATCCTGTAATGATGGTGACCTCGATGACGTGAGGCATCCGGTTTTTCGCGACCAACCGGGTGCCATTGCACAGCTTTGGTGCGTCCCAATTTCGCAGGAGCAGAAATAGGGCTCCGACCTTTAGTTCCAGGCGATGATGTGGGACACCAGGTGGCTCCATAGAATTGAGAACCTCAATTGGGTAGTTTGCAATGTCGTCTTGTTGAACCATGGTGTTGGTGAACTTGTATACTTGTATGGCACCAGGTACGGCTTTCAGCAGCTCAGCATTGACAGTCTTTACGGTATCGTTCTTTGGTGCGAGAATAGCTCTCTCGCACAACCATCTGTGGCTCGTGTAATGGTCGGCGAGGTTGGGAAATACGCGCTCCTGCAGGTCGTGAACTGATCCAACACATTGACTGAATGGAGAGACGGGTATCGTGCCTTCATCGTCCAGGGGAATCCTGCCATCACCAAGCCGAAGTAGATGTGCTGCAAACTCTCCTTCCGTTGGCTCGCCTAGAAGGTGAGGCCGCATGTTGGTGAACAGCACCAGCTGCCGCACGCTGCTCCAGATATATGACGACTTGATGCATGCTTTTAGTTCATCAGCACGTGTGCCTCTGGGAATCACGGGAAGGGTCTGACAGAAGTCACCTGACATCACGAACGTAATACCTCCCATGATCTTCCCATTGCCGCGGATGTCACGCAGGGTTCGGTCCACGGCTTCAAAGGCAGCCTTGTGCGACATTGTGCACTCATCCCACACAATTAGGTGTACCAGTTGGAGGAGCTTCGCCTGCCCTCGGATAGGCTACAGGTGGGTGTGTCGTTTTGTGCCAAGTTTAGTGGCAGCTTGAATGTTGAATGTGCTGTACGACCTCTTGCAAGTAGTGTAGTTGCGATGCCAGACGATGCGACAGCAAGGCAAATCTTTTTCTGTGCTCTGATCTTTGCCAGCCGAAGACTGGTGACGATAGTCTTTCCAGTTCCCCCTGAAGCGGTCAAGAAGAATATTCCGCCTTTTTAAGTAGTGATGCTTTGCACTATGGTGTTGTACGCGTCTCTCTGATCAGGTAGTAGTTTAGACTCGTTGATGGTAACATATTCGTGCAGGGAGATGTTGTATGATGTTTCCCTCAGAACTTTACGTGACATTGTGTCGGCTGCATTGACACGCTGTGGTTTTGGCAGACTGAAGCTGAGTAGGTCTTTGCCGCCCAGGGACATGAGGTTGTCCTCAATTGCAATAAGAGACATATTGAATATGTCATCAGTCAACCCGATATCCAAACCAAGGAGTTGTAGCTGGGCATGGTACCTGAAGTCGGACGTCAAAGCTTCCCTGTGATTAAGCCACAGATGGGTTGGGTCCGCCACACCACATGTGTGCAGCATGATGGCGAATAGATTCCGCAGCTTATATGGTGATTGCGATACAGCAGCTTCAGTCATGATGGCATCCCAGTGTGCGTCATCTTCCAGGAGGCCTCGCATGTTGGACGATTGGCGGTATGTGGCGCAAACGTAACCATCCACTGTACGGAGCTCTTCGAATAATGTCGGTCCCGGACTTCGTGCAGCAGCATACGTAAGAAGCACTCCTCTTGGCTCGGGTGGATTGTGTTACTCTGCCTTCCGTATACGCGGATATCCCTCGACAGAGTACGCTCTCTTCCTGCGGGCCCACTTCTTGCTCCACGCATAGTATGCCGGCAACTGGTTATATAATAGCGTTCTGGCGAAGTCGTCCTCCTGACACAGCTTAGGGTTGTGAGGGTGGTATCCTTTGGAAACTCGGTTTGTTGCTGTGCTGTGGCAGGCGTGAAGTATACCTGCTGGCCGTTTTCTAAATGGACAGCAAGTTGTTGGACGGCTGGATGGCAAAGGATGGGAATGGCAAGAATCCGCCAAACTGCCTTATTGCTGCTGATGTATCGTCCCATTTCGTATTGGCTGACCTCATCCCGGTTGTTCGGCTGGATGCCAGACATCGCAGCATCAAAGCCTTTATTTACATACTTGCAGATGTACTTGATGGACTTGATCGAGTTACAGAACTCCCCATTGATGTGAGCGTTGAACACCTTCGAGAGCAACGGACAGTAGGGGACGACCCATCTGTTGTCAACCTCAACCACCTGTTGACCTAACCTGACCATAGCAGTGAGACCTCCATCCGCCGGCTTCCGTCTGCGGTACAAAGGATATCCATCACCTGCGGTCTGTGTCTCGCTGCGGGGATACTTCTTTGTGCATTTGCCATCTTTCATGCAGGAGGCGTTCCGATTCAGTGCACCACATGGTCCATGCATCATGTGGCTTTTGATGGTGGTGTGCAGTTGTGGGTCGTCGGTCGGATCTGGTAGTTCTGCAGAGATGAAAGAGTCCAGCTGGTTCGAATGTATTTTGTCACAC